ACTTTCATCGTGTTGTAAAGAATGATAGAAATCAAAACTTTGAACATTTAAGAGGCATCGCTTAAGAGAAAATAATRAACATTTCTTGCAGGTTTGGCAGTTCCAGTCGTGTAAATATACTTGTTGCAACRCCWGGACGTCTAGTGGAACATYTGTCATCTACTCCACACTTCACCCTTCAACACCTAAGATTTCTTGTCATTGATGAGGCAGATCGCTTGCTCGATCAATCTTATCATGACTGGCTGAATAGAGTGCTAAAAGTGACCTATGAGTTTCAACAGGAAATTAAAGATCCAAGGACAAGTCTAATGAGTAATGAGAGGTAAGATGTTTGCTAAGTTCTTTAAAAGCATATTTTTACAATTTTGAGTCAATGATTTTTTTACTACATATTCATTATCCAACTGATAAAAAATATCCTTATTAAAGAAATATTTCTTTGGATTATCTTAATCTTGCAAAAATCCTAACTGTACTTTGTCTCATACAATAACTCCGCTCTGAGAAAGTTTGGGGCAGAGAAACCCAGAAGGGAATGCCTGCCTGCAGCTTTAACAAATTTGAAAAACACCTTCTCTTTAGATATGCATGATTAACTATGTGTATCGTGAGAGAATTCTCACTACGTTGTAAACTCACAAAATTGGTCCTCAAATTCAGCATAGGGATTTTTTTAGCCTAAAGTATATCTTTTAGGGGTATTTGTCTYTTTGCCAGCCTAAATGAGTTTAGTTCAGTTTGGTTGAATACTTCCTCCACAACAAAGCTTTACCTATTGATACTTTCTGAGTCTTTTTCACAGCCATTTTCAAGGTTGTAGTACACGTGATGATCTAATCTACGCAGCTACCTGAAAGCGCTCAAGGAAAATGTACAATATGTGTGCGCTCTGTTTACAAATGAAAGATAGTGAATAAAATATATATTTATATATCATTAAGGCAAAAGCTTTATTTGTAAGACTGTTGAAAAACAAAGTACCCTCAGATCTCGAATTACTAACGGCCATTTCAAAACAATAACAGTACTTTATAATTTATCTAATCACAAAATATAGTCCTTTCAAAACCCCAATGATTTTCTTAGCTTTTAAATTGATCTGCTTTATAAATTTAGTGATGACTAGATGAAGAACATGACATGTATCTGTCGAYGTGATGGGATTAGCTTGATAAACTCTTGAACCTTCTAAATGTTTGTTAAAAATGTTTTACCAGCTGTCAATTACTGTCCCATCTGACCATGGATGAATGGGTTTTTAAAATTTGTTAAAGCTGCGGGCAGGCATTCCCTTCTGGGTTTCTCTGGTCCAAACTCTCGCGGAGCAGCTAGGAATGCCTAGCTACACCAGCTAAGAACTCCCTGATAATTTATGATCCTTCAATCACGTGATGGACCCTTAAATACTGATAAAATACTGATATTCAATTCATCAGTTCGTTATCAGATGTATATTTTGAGGGGGGGAGGGGGGGGGGGGCTGCAAAAGTTAGACTGGTGGAGAGATATATAGATCATTGAGATAGGGAGATTAGTTTCGAACAAAAATTTCTTTGGCTGGTGGGAAAGTACCACAGGGCTCCCAATCGGAAGTGCATTTTTCTTATGAAAATAAAAACTTATTTAAAGATGTAATTAATGGGGTGTCTGATGAGTAAGATGATGCCATAAGTACCTAACCAGAAGTGCATAGCAGTGTTAATCATAGCGGGTTACAACCCCCCAACCCTTGCTCTGGATCCACCCTTGATTAAAAATATGTTTGAATCATCAGCACTTTATTGCAGTTTAGCATTGTTAAAGGTCTCAGTTTCATATCACATCATCTAGACAACTTTCATAATGGCCGACATTTATCAGCATGTTATGTTAAATTCATTATGTTGAAAAGAAAATAGGTCTCCAATTAAAGATATCAAAGCTAAAGATAAGTTCTAAAGTTTCACAGAAAAGTGTTTAAAAACCTTCAAGTTAGGGTTAGGCACAGAAACACCAAAACAAGGCTACCAAGTCTCAGCAAAGAATTTCATACAAATTCCTATATAACTTTACAAGTGTTTAGTCCATAGCTCCAAAGCTTTCCACAAATATCTATTTCCCATAGTTTATCCATATTGCAGTGCTAAATGTTAAATACAGTATTGTCAATATAAAATCAATGGYAGGCACTTATGAAAKTGGTCTTTAGACTTTTGCTRGGTTTTGAMTCAGTTTGCATCCRATACATGCACTTAATCACAATGTTGATACCACATGGCATCTACATGTACTAATTATTTTTTCACATTACTGTGAAAATGTGTGATAGCTTACACACTGTYRTTTCATWACAATTAGTATCATGATGAATCTACATACAAGAAGAGAGCCACCAAGTGCATCAACTCCAGCAGAATTTTCAAAGCTTCACTTTCCCCTCCAAAAACTTTTGTTCTCAGCAACCATGACTAACAGTCCAGAAAAACTYGCTTTGCTGAACTTGTACAACCCTAAGTTATTTATTGCATCTCAGTCATCAGTAGAGCAGTCTGAATCTGGTACTATCACAGGTAAATAAGATTAATGTGCAACTGTTATTTTAATACATTGTACTGTATTATCAATTTCAATTTTAACAAAAAGAAAAATCATCAGAAAATTGTAGCTTTCATTATTTCAGAGATTCMTGGTTCTCAGTCACATGACCAAACAATCTCTTGAGAAATAAACAAGAAAAGAAACGGCAGCTATGTTTGTGTACATGACAAGAGAAARCTTTTGTTTGGTGCTAAACCAATAATTATGGCAACTGTAATGTCATGTGGAATAGACAAAAATAATAATCAGTTTATTGCTGGTTGAGATACTGTAGTTGTTTGCAGACAGGATTCATCACTGTTAACCTACATCACACTTGAATCAATACAGAAGAGCATATTAGGAGAAGAGGTACATTTTATGTTTTTTTTTAACCACAGGTAGGAAAATGATCAGTCGCTACACTGTCCCTCATGGTCTGCTGGAGTACATGGTTATCTGTAACAGTGGTGAAAAGCCACTAATRCTTCTCTATCTTATGACACAAATGAGTCTCTCTGGTGTTCTTTGCTTTACATCATCACTTGAAGCAACCCACAGGTCAGTTATATGTATACCACATGCTCAAAATAAGGATATCTTGTTGTGTTAGGGATAAGATACAGGATATCTTGTAGTGTTAGAGAGATGAGATATTTGTCTGCAAAAGCTCAATTTCAAGAAAGAAATTTCAGTAGTTAGTCAAATCGAAAAATTGAAAAAATGACGAATAGACATAGTAAACGTTATGAAGTACTTTTTCTATAATTTGGAGCCAMAAAATGTAGTATTGAGAATATTTTGGGACTCAATTATAACATGTTTTTGAAATTTTAAGACATTGTCCCATAATGTCAGATMTCAGAGATTTCATCTCAAACAAATTCATACAGGAAATAATTATTTTAAAAGGAAAGTTTAAGATCAAGAGGGGGGACTTTGACAAGATCACTGAAAGGATTCAATATTCCACCTGACATCTTGATCTTACTTTAGAAGGCACAGATAGAAGGCTTGCAGTCGCATTTGAGCAATTCACAGCTCTTAAGAGCAGGACCATGTAGAAGAGGGGTGCAAAAGTCAAGTTTGAAAACAGATTGAGTTTGGCGTGCACTGTTACTTCATTGATATCCGCGTATTTTCTAATGCGATTGTAAAAAATCACACAAGGTTTGCCCAARACAGCTGATCAGTGAGTTAATCGAGCGAACTCATCAAAAATTGCTATWATATTCCTCACAAACTGCATGCATTCGATTCAGCAGTTCAATTATCAAGGAAGATATGAAAATTGTACTTTTAAATTGTTTCAGTTGTATTGATACCGCTTGATTTTAGCCTATTGTCAATCATTGTACCTTGAGACAATACATGAAAAACTACGAGAAGCAGATTAGAAACTCTCAGCTGGGCACGAAAATGACCTTTTATATAAGATTTGGAACCTTCAACAAGGATTCCATTAAAGCCATTATGATTCAAGATCATATAAGCTATAAAATGCATTCGCGTTTATTCAGTCAAAAACAAGATGAGTGCGCCATAATAGAACCAAACCAAACTAAAAMAACCAGTGAAATTCCACAATTTTCGCCTATTGTAGCATGTCAAATCGATTATAGCAATTACTTCATTAATTCATTTTATAATATTCCGGTGAAGTTTATTCAGTTTATTAATTCCAGTCATTTAATTATCACTTCATTGTATTGCATATTTAATTTTTTCAATAGACATATATGAACAMTTACTAGTACATACAAAAGAACTATGAAGGAAAACGCCTTACCAACAATAAAACACGTGTATGTTTTTTTCTTTTCTTGTAGGCTGTTTCTTCTTGTCAGTCATTTTGGTAGCATCACTGTTGCTGAATACTCGTCCAGTTTGAATGCTCAGCAGCGTCATGGAGTGCTGCGAGACTTTAGGCAGGGTCAGATACAACTGTTGATTTGTTCTGATGCGATGGCTAGAGGAATGGATATCGATAACGTATCATATGTAATTAGTTACGACACTCCCAAGCATGTCAAGTCATATATCCACAGGGTCGGAAGAACTGCTAGAGCAGGAAACGAAGGTAACGTCGTATTTTCATATTTTATGATTATTTTATTTATGGTTGGGATCTTGCATTATGATAATTTCAATTATAAGTCCCTGGGCTTGTCAATATTTGTGATATCKTGCGGTGAATTCACCGTATGTTTGACAATGGTTCATTGTTAAGCGGTCGCAGTGATCAGTGGTGTGATAAATCATAGGTAATTACAATCGATTTTTGTAAACTGAAAGTCCCAACTGTTCACTAACTCCAAAATAATTGTTTAATGTCATTAATAATCACTCAAGGTAAAATGAATTATTATAACTTTAGGGGGACATTATGGCRCCTTTTGCGGACTAAAATGTGAAAAGCAGCGGGCTAAACAGCTGTCAGCCAATGAGAAACGGGGAAAATGCTTAACCAATGAAATGAGAGAAACCACTGTAATGTCAACAAGCTTAGAGTTTGCAAACCTTTGCTATTTAGGTTACAATCATTGAAAATGGCAGAAGAATTAAGTTTAACAGAAAAACAAAATTGCTTTAATTAGAACACCTGGGGAAAAGCATTTTAAACGCCTGAAAAGCAGTCGGTTCCGATAGATACTGAAAATGAGACTTGAAAGTGTATGGGAAGTGTATCAAGAAACGACGTTTTCTGCTATGGCGCCGAAGCTTTGATGTTTAGTAAAAAACGGCAGTTTATTGACTGTCAAGTTAACATTAACTTCTCAAAGCGACTAGATATTTCAAGTTTGCCTGTGTGCATTATTTTTCAGTTAACTGTTATGGTAAGTCTATAAACATATAACAAGAAAACCTTTTTTTGTTAAGTGAATTTTTGAATAAATACCGACATGAAGTCGTATTTTTAGAATATATGAAGTCTATCTTCATTCTTTAAAAGCCTTATATAGTTATGATAATGTAGTAAAAGCGTTCATGTTTTCTGGTTTAAAGGTGTCTTGGATTTTCTCGGGCCAAATTGAGTCTGAGTTGGGGCAAAAACMCATTTACAGTGARCCTTACAGGGTAACATTAACTCTATGTTATATTTTCAATGATGCTATTAAAACTCGAAAGTTTCGAATTGAAATTTTTTGCAAGTTTTAATCGTATCSTGCTGGTGGGAATTTCAAAAAATATTCGTGGAATTGCGGGAGGCATAAACATTTTTCGATCGAAATGGCTTCCAAAGGTTGATTATCATTCTATTTTGATACTAGCTTAGTGGTTTTCATTAACCGGTGAAAYAAGCTTTAGAAATAATCTAAACCAGATACGTTTTTACATGTGATAGTCCTGATATATAATTAAAACTTACTATATATTCTCCAGTGAAGCTAATACCGTCTTTACGGCGTGATGCTGAATCCATGAGTAGACTYGTTATAGCAATCAACTTCAGCAAAGTGTCACAAGATATTGCTTTTGATTATCCCGATGCCGATGATTTTAGTGACATCTGCATAAAACTTTGTTCTTACTCAAATGCGGTTTTAAGCTATGTCTGAAAAAATCCTGAATCATGATGAAAGACTATTGTCAAGTAGGTTATAATGCAAAGGAATTTAGTATCTAAAATAGTGTGACACACCTTTTATACTATGCAGCATATTTTATATATGACTCACCCTATATGCGGACTTGTAAAACTCAGGTAGTATTTTACAGTCAAAAGACATAAAGCGCGCCCCCTCAAAACACCATTATTCAATTCATTATTCGATTCTTGGTCGATTCAACATTACATTATTGAAATCAAATTTGAATTCAAATTTCGAAATTTGATTGGATTATTGATAGGATTTTCATAAAGCCTTCTTCGCATTTTGCTTGTAAACATGCTGGTCTTTTGTAATTTCCACAAGTCGATGCATTGCAATATGCTTTCTGTTAATTTGGTTGAATCTGTTCTTTCTCGTGAGAAAGGAATGACGGTCTCAAAAATTGGAAATGCTGTGTTGTTTTCTGTCATTATCAGAGTTCGAGATTTGAATTTAATTTTGCTTTAATCAACTGAAGTTTGAAAACGAAAAATAAAATGAAACAATTCAATAATGCATTGAATAACGAACTATTCGGGGGGGAGGGGGGGGCTTCATGTCTTTTGACTGTAACATCGTTTAATAAAGCGAAATAAAGTATACAGCCCCTTTTGATTTGTGACTTGTCTAGAGAGGGAAGTTCTACGGAAAATAGAAAGAATCGGAACAAGTCAAATTCATTTAGAATCAACAGACTGCTATTCTTGGATGAATATTAAAAAAAGAAGGAATATATGATAATACAAGCATTGATTAAATACAATTTTTTTCTGCTTCAGCCTACCGTTTCAGCCTTCGTTTGCACCTGGTCTTTTCTTTGATCATTTTCTCAAGTTCCTCGTTTCCAGTCGTCTTCGTTTTCTATGCAAATACTATACTACTACTACTAATACTACTACTACTGCATGTAAAAGCAAAATCAATTCTGCTGTTAAAACTGCGCTTCTGCAAGATTTCTCCAAAGGCTCAGTTTTCAGATTGTGAAAAGGGCACTCTACTTGCACTCGAGAAGGATAAATTTTTATTGAATAACATCCGTCAGGATCTCTCGTTAGTTCGGTGTAAGGTTAGAGCACTGTTTCCAGTATGGMTCAAAGTCATCCCCATGTATGTCAACAACAGGCTTAGTAATAGTGTGTAAGGACTCGCTCAAATGGACTGCCAGGATCGTTCTGATTTGCCATTCATTTATTAGTTCTCAAGTACAGTAGAAGCTAATTACAAACTATGATTAATTTGTTCGGCACAAGATGAGGTTGTGGAAGCTCGACCAGAAAGACTTTCCGCAGTTGTAGTGTTCGTGTAGAAGGAATTCCAAACTCAAGCACTTTCCTTACTTTGGTCTGTACTTTCTAATACGATCTAGACAACAACCTCAGTCTTGGCCCGCAACCAGGTACAATGAGAACGGTAGTGATTCGAGTGCTATAAAGTCAGTCCTTTTATAATTCTAAACCTACTCCGATATTCTGTCTCCATCAAATTCTAGTCAAAACCGGCTAAGATGATGGTGTTCTTAACTATAGGAGGTTGTACTACACATGAAACTACGTGTAACCACATTAATCTAAAAAGTCTAGGAATATAATATAAACATAAAATATTGATCTAAATTTCACAAATAACAAATCTTTCAAATTCTGTTATCTAACATTCCCCCTTCTTAAYTTAGTGCATCTCCTGATGCACATCAAATCATGCATAGTGGTATATTTAAATATATAATATAAAACTAAAATTAACAAACAAATAACTCTAAAAATGTTCGATACGTATGATTTCTATAAATGTCACTACATCTACATACCCATGAATCGTGCATACTTTCCGAAAAGCAACACGCAGAATCTATGGACAATCTTTTGCCGTTTTACTCTGTTTGGATGATTATAAAGTCATGTTGGTATCTGCCAAAATAGTCAGCAGCATGGCTTTTCAATTTGCATATGGTAGACATCGATCACCCCAACGATGTTTGTTAGACTACTGATATCCGAGAATRTCGCCACTGAATCTCGAGCTTCGGCAGCAGTTTCAGGGAATTTTGTGTAATTTTTCCWATGTCATGTAAGAACATTCACCACGTCTTGCACTGCTTTTATGGCCATTTTTCATCTGAGACGAAACGCAGGAGCACCAACATATGTGTTGTTCACATATGCCAGCTTATGCAGTAGCAAGTAATTTACTCTATGGCAAACAGTCTAAATTGAGTTCTGTCTAGTCTACGAACAAGAATATCCTAGTTATTATCAGAAGTAACACGGTTTACCCTTAATAATTCTTTGAAGTGTTGATCTGGAATGTTCATCAAACCACGATTCTTGTCAACGATCAATCAATCCATCAGGCAGAGGGCATAGGGTACTATATTCTTATTCTACGAAAATCAAGGATCTCCTAACTTAATATAAGCTCATAATTGTCCAGAAATTCCTCATAAAGAGTTAAACAGATCTACTGTTGTTGAAGTTGTAAAGCCAGAAGTAAYATAATCGSCCCAAGAGAAATTARTTGTCTGTGTTTCATTGTTGTTTGTACTGCAGTAGCTATTGCACTTGGCGGGAATTATTAYGTTGACATGATTAAAAGTGGCGGGAACTGGAGGTGAAATGCACTAATAGCCCGCGTATCAACAACACCGGAATTCAGTTTCAATTTAGACAAAAGAGGTTCTTATAGAAAGGCAAATAAAGGAAATTTAGCCAAAAAAGGTTCTTAAAGTAGGTATTTTGTTATGAATGTCATTTATAATATAGAGGCGGAAAAAAATCACAGAGAATTACACATTTATCCCTAAAAGCCTGTTTCGTGACTTGTTGTCCTAATCCTCCGAAGAGTGATGGCAGGTCGTGAAACAGGCTTAACGTATATACCCCGCTCTACTCATGAATTGAGCACTGAGCCACGGAAAATCGAAATATTAAAGACTTTCTAATATAGCATATATAGGATCTACATATAGACGGCACTCAGGCACTAAGTAGTCGATGTAAATTATTGTAGTTCATTTCGCGTGAAGATTATTGTTACAATGACATTTATGAAACTTTAAGTCTGCACAAACCGTCATTTAGTCTTTAATTTATCTAAGTTATACTTCTCTGCGTTTGTATTGAGCACTCTTTACGCGCTCTAGACCACATTACAAAGTATACACAATGTATTATATACACACTCGTTTGCAAAAAAACCCTTAATTTTGATTTGTATGCATGGCTTATGTACTTGGTCTTTAAATGAAAACAACTGAAATACATACATGGATCCCATTTGAATTAAACATTAGATTGACATATATATAAAGAGACATA